TTTTTTTTTTTTTTGTGAAACCAGGGATTGAACTCAGGCCCTTGCACTTGCCAGGGAAGTAATTGTTCTACTGAGCCATCTCCCCGGCCCCCCTTTCTTTCTGTTCAGACTGGCAGAGTTGGGTTAGGTCAGCTAGAAATGGGGCATTGGTGAAAATACTATTGTGGCCATGGTTTACTTCAGTGTTCTTTTGTGGAAGAAGTATGTACATGTAAAGAGCTACATGGATTGAGAACAAAGCAGATATGGTTGGTGGTTCTTGTAGGGGTGTGTGTAGGCGTGTAACTGTGATTGGAATTGCACACAGGTGCTACCCCACCCGGTATGTTCTTGGGGACTGAACTCAGGATCTTACACTTGCCAGGCAGGCGCTTATGCCACTGAGCTATCTCCCCAGCCCTTGCTCTTGGGGATTCTTATAATCTAGTACTTTGTGGCTAAACTTCAGGAAGTTCATGACCATCTTGAAACTGGGGGAGATTTTGGAGAATAAACAATATGGGGCCCAAATCTTGGACCCCAGCACTCAATTTAGTGGCTGAGCAAGACCTTGTCTCAAAAAAAGGAGGAAAAATCTTTTTATAAGATAGGCCCGGTGGTGCACACACATAAGCCTAGCACTCAAGGAGGCTGAGGCAGGAGGATCCTTAAGAGTTTAACACTAGGCTGAGCTACATAGGGAGTGAGACTGTCTCAAGAAAAAAATTCTGGGCTGGGGCGACAGCTCAGTGGCATAAGCACCTGCCTGGCAAGCGCAAGTTCCTGAGTTTAATCCCTGGTACTGCAAATAAATAAATAAAAAATTTTTAAAAAATTCAGGGCTAGGGGGTGACTAGGAGTAGAGTTCAGAGGCATGGTGCCTGCCTAGCAGGCTGGAAGTCATGAGTTCAATTCCTGGTACAAAAAAAGATAAGGGGGGGGGCAGGGGATGGCTCAGTGGAATAAGTGCTTCCCTGGCAAGTGCAAGGGCCTGAGTTCAATCCGCCATTCTGCCACAAAAAGAAGGGAGGGCCGGCCAGATAGCTCAGTGGACTAAAGTGCCTGCTTAGGTTTTGGGGTTTTTTTGGTGGAACCGGAAATTGAACTCAGGCCCTTGCACTTGCCAGGCAAGCGCTGCTTCTACTGGGCCACCTCCCCTGCCCAAAGTGCCTGTTTAGGCAGAGAGCAGCAGCCAAGATTCAATCCCTGGCCTGCCCTGAGACGGCGATTGAGACTGGGCATGGTGGTGCGTGCCTGTAATCCCAGCGATTGGGATTCTGAAAACAGGAGAATCACTATGAGTCTGATCTGTGTAGTGAGACCCTGTAGACCCTGTCCTAAATACATAACAAACAAAAAAGAAAGAAAAAATCTGGGCTGGTGAGATGCCTCAGTGGTCTAAAGCACCTACTTGGAACAAGCTTTACAAAGCACAGGGACCGCGGTTCAATCCCCCAGCACCACATGCCAGCCAGCCCCGCCCCCTGGTGGGCTGAGCTGGCCACACACACACACACACACTAAATAAATAAATATTAAAAAAAAGAAAAAAATCTAACCCAACAAAACAGCTGGGCATATAGCTTAGTATAAAGGCCCTGGGTTTTACCCCTAGAACTGAAAAATAATAATAATAATAATAATTAGAAAATAATAAACCCCTGTGTGGAGCATGGCTAGCAGGCAGCC